GCAGAGTATATGATGTTTGTGGCAAAAAGAAAGTTTTATTCCTAAAATATTGTTTACACAGTTAAGTTTCATTTGAAAACATATGTCTCACGAATGAGTGAATCCAAACTAATTGATGCAAGCCAGCATAGCTGAACTGTTACACAAATAACATTTCTTAAATATATATTAATTTTTAGTTAAGATAGGGTTGCCTAAACACATTGCAATCTAACATAAAATGGATAATCTGTTCCTGTGTTCCTATGTTGCTTAGCACCACAGGGTTTCTAGATGATGCAGTAATAAAAATATTAATATATTTTTTTTAATGCAGTACATTCCAACATAGCTCACAGGCCTTATTATCCAGCAGCTTTTTGAATGCTGAAATGTGAAATCAGAACAAAAGTATTTCCCAATTAATGACCAGCTAGATGGCTGTAAGGCTAGACCAGCATTGTTGGCTTCTCTGCCTCATGTAAGGTGTCACATCTTGCCTGCTTCCAAAATGTTTGGGAAATGTCTTTCTTTGTTTTCTGCTTCAGCTTAATTCTGCTCAGGGTCCTCTCTCTGAGTGACTTAGATTTTTGTCAGAGATGCATGAAACTGTTTTCCTTTAATACAGTGTTCTTACAAGTATGATCCTGGAGAATAACAGGAGTATATGCATGACTGAACATTAATAATCAAACTTAGAAAAGCGCTGTCATTTATCTCTTCAAATTGTAAACATTTGAGGTCTTATGTTCCTAACCAGTTCTAGGTTGCCTTTTTTTCTATATTCCTGATTAATCTTGTACTGTCATATGTCTTTGCTCGTGGTACTGCTTGGCAATGACCAGCTCCGAACGTAAAGCAGCTAGGTATGTTGCCTGCTCAAGGGGAACAGGGACCACAGCTGCTTTGTTCTCTGTATTTCTGTCAGCATGGTGGCAGCAGCAGTCTGGAGGGAGTACTACTTTTTTCTTTATCAGTGCATATGCTCAGAGCAGGTTTAGAGTCAATTCATTAGCTCTCAGAAAGCACAAATGGACTATAATCTCAAATATATTGCCATGCAGCTTCCAGGATCCACCCCACACCAGGCTCCTGGGTGTTGGCAGAGATCCTCTTGACTTTAAGTGATAAAACAAGGGACAGATTTATTGTGGTCTTCCTGTTGCTCTGAATTCATTGACCTAACTTCATATGCAAATTCATAACTATTTCATTGTTGACAAAAGAGAGGATTCTTACTGTTGTGGCCTGTTACTGTTAATAATCTTATTTTGTCTTATTCAGGCTGCCTCAAATACAGTCTATACTGATTGAGGTAACATGGAAAAGCCACAAGGAACAGAATAGCCCTCAACATGGTGCAAAATCAGGTTTATTTACTGCTTAGGACTGAGGAAAATCTAGAGGATCCTGACTGTAATGACAATTACTGATATAAACAATTTACTGATGGAGTTCAGTCTGACTAGTTCTGCAGACCTGAGTCTGTCTAAACCATTCCCTCTCCTTTTTCAGGTAGCTTGCTTGTGCCAAATCGGGTCTGTTGTACTGCTCAAGTACTGCCCTGAGTTTTGCTGTTTGCTTTAGCTATTCTTAGTTACTCATTTCTGCTTGGCAATATACAATCAACCGAAAGTGCCAGAGGAAAGGAAATGCCTTCTGCTTTGTTCTTCAGTTAATTAAACTTGAAGTAAATTAAATTTCCGTTAAGCAAATTTTGGGGATGGAGTTGAATAATTAGGAGTACATAAATAAAAATTCCAAATGCTGTTTTTCTCCAGCTTGCTTTACCTCAGAAACAGAATATATAAAAGGATGACAACCTGGGGAATGTCAAAATAGTTGGTAGAAAAGTTAAACATTGTCTGCCTTTTATGATTTATTTGAAAACATTATTTTAAAGAGACAACATTGTTCAACCTACATCTTACAGTGAAAGGAAAAACACTATAAAAATAGACTTAATATGGGAACATAGAAACAGTTGGTATGTATCAAAACCAGTAACTATTTGAAATAAACAGAGTAAGCACAAGTGGCAACAAGTTAAAGCGGCCTAGTGAAAGAATGCGATATTAGAATTGCTCCACTAACATTCTGGGGCTTGGTAGTGGAATCAGAGGAAGACCAAGTGGCAGTGGAGAAATTCCCTATGGCAGGAAGCACTAAGTGTGTAAGCATGAGCAGCTGTCACACTCCAACACAAAATCATCTCCTGGGCTGGCTGGTTGCCCAGAACTCAGCATCCCTGCTTATCCAGAGTGAGCAGTTTTGAACTGGCCTGTGTGTTTTGAGAAGGTATGGACATACCCCTCAAGCTAAGTAAGTTAAAAGAGGTTCAATATTTACTGCATTAAAGAGAGAAAGAAGTCCTTGTGCTGAGATTAAATTCACCTTAGGTTAGTTTGTGTTTATTTCACAAAGATAAATATAAATGCACTTGGTCTGTTGCATTCCAAACAGTGAGAACATTTGCTTTCAGATCATTTAAAATATTTTTTTCTGCTTTATATTTCAGTTCTACATATCCCATCTTTCTCTGTTCCAACTTGAGAGCCTATCCCCTGCCCATTCAAACTCTCCTGCACTACGTACATTTTCTGCAACCAGTTGTTTCCCTCCTTGAGTGCACTGTCAGCTGTACCTTACTCCTCTGACTTCAACTCTGTTTTCCTTGCTTGCTTCCTTAGTAGATCCCTTCTGGCAACTATGGCTGCAGAGCACTGCACAAGCTGATAAGCATTGTAGGTGGATGTCACTCCATGTCTCCTCTAAAGTACTGCTCATGTACACAAAACAAATCTGTATTTTTGTATTTTGTACAACCATGTACAATGCAGATTTGTTTTGTGTTGCAATGCAGATGCACAATTAATGCTGGATTTTGGCTGTTGCAGATGCTGCTATTTCCATCCTGTTGGCATGACTGAAATTCTTGACTTTTGACGTAACTTTCTGCTGTGCACAATTGCTAGCACAACTTGCTGATGCTTTTACATTTTCAGCATCAAACAATGTTTCGGAGCCAATCTGCACAGCCATTAATGTCCTTAGCCAAATTTCAAAGTAATATATTCTACAATGTAATATATTCTACAATGCAATTGAAAATATAACATGTGAGTGCTACTGATTATTCTAGAAGTGTTCTACCAGTGCTGCACTCTTTCTTAGCCTACTAATCCCATCTCATTCCTCAGGCATTCTGTTAAGTATCTTCTCGCCCCTGCCCTACCCCAACTTTAACAACTGTATACCAGACTTTTTGGGTGAAAGTGGCTGAAACTGCGCACTCCAAAGGCAGGGATGCTAAAATGTCAGGGGTACAGAGGAGTGAGAGCATTTCACAGGCTTCCTTTACTGTGTAAAGCATAAATTCAGACTATGTGACACTGACCTTCTTCAGAGACTCCTCCTATTTGATATCAGAGAGGGGTTTGTCTGTGTGTGGAGGGAGAGTGCCCTCAGCATGCTGGACACAGCCTCCTGCGCTGCTTCAGCAGCCTAATTGCACCATGGAAGTATAGCTGGACATATATATATGTTTATATATATATATATGTTTATATATATATATATGGTTTTATATATATATATATATATATATAAAACACACCAATATACCATATAAGAAGCACTTTTCTCTTGCAAGGTCTTTCATTTGCAGTTCGTCCCACTTAGGATCCAGATTTCTTTACTGATTTCTGTGAGAGCAGAGGCTAGTTTGGTGCTTCCCATCAGTCACAAAGTGAGGTCTTCCTATTCTTTTGACCTTGAGGCCTTTCACACCTTAGCAAGTCCTCCTTGGCATCTTGAATGTCCTCAGTGCAAACAGACATGCTGCAAGTGACAGGCCTATCTTACCTGCTGTCAGCACCTGGTTTTACAGTGCAGAGGGAAATTCTTTTCTCCCTCTGACCTCAGATCTTCTGGGAATGATACTATGATGCTGTCTTACCATTCCAGAGTTATCAGAGCAGGTGTACAATCAGCTATATGTCTGTGTCTGTGATCCAGTTTGCCTTTGGTTCAGCTCTTCAATGCTTTCTAGACATTCCTCTCATAAAAGTTCAGTTAAAAATCTACATGGAATTGCTCCATGAGGCTATAAAGCCAGTGCCAGCAGAGTAAAAGCAGTGTCTTAGGGAGCTGACTTCTTGTACCAAAATAGAATGGCAGATGGTTTCCAGCCTGGACCTACATAAGATGGAGAGTAACTTGCAAAAACACTCTGCTGGTGGTCCAGGATGGACATGATTTTGGTTCTTGACCCTTAGGACACCTATGAAAAGCAGCCTATGCGAAAACCCATGGTCATTGAAGGCATTACAAGTTCAGATAAAACAGATAGGTAATCTCCTCCCTGCCCTTAAATTTCTTTGGTTCCCCCCCTCTCTGAGACTTTGCTAACTAATGACTATGGCAGTCTGTGGAAAGTACCTTGGTAGACACAATCCACTGCCTTGCAATTTTTATGTGATGTATTCAGCTTCCTGGGGTATTTTTACAGAATGCTGAGCAGTCCATCTTGTTTGAAGAGACTGACAGGTGATGCAACTGGTTTATAAAAACATCTTTATCAAGTTATCAAAGCTGCTTCTTGTTTACCCGAATTCCATCTGGAGAAAATACCTCTCCGGGCCTTAGATAAAACAACTGTTCTCCCATTCTTCAGGTTTGCCTGCCCTCTGCTGCCCTCTCGGGCAACTTCATGGAATGCGGAAGAATTTAAAGCTCTCTGCTGCTGTTTTTTATGCGTTTCATTGAGACTTTAATAATCTGCACAAATATAAATGTCAAATATATATGGAAATTAGAATGTACCTTGACATAGTGTTGCTACTGGAGCTACAGATTCAGGTTTAATTCCTAGTGTTGTAAAAATCACATATTGGCAATTGACAGATGCATAAGTTGCAGATGCGTGATCTTCATTTGGGATTAAATTACATCATGTAAGTGTGTACTTCTGAGCGTTGCATGTTTGTTGTGCAAGTAGCTTGTGTTCTGCTTTATTTCAGGAGGGCTTCTCATTAATTGATTCCCACAAGTGGCTAAAGATAGTAAGAAGAGCAGACTGCCTGCTGCTTCGTGCACAGTCAAAGGTGAACTGCTTTTAATATTTCTGATATCTAACACAGTTCTGTATTAAATTTATTAATACTGGAAAAATTAAACCAGAAGATCTGAGATACTGTAAACTATATAATTTTTTCTCTTAGATATTAAACAAGAATGGATTTAATCATCTTAGTGTCTTTTGTAACTGCAAATAGGTCTTTTAGACTGCTTTCTGAGAGTTAGCTACTAAAACAGCTAGCCTGGTGTTTATTTTAGAACCTATCAGCCATAGCTAACAGTTAAAAAGATGAAGTGATTCTCTTAGATGTACAGAAGCATGCTACCTATGAGTCATGCTTTGCTTTGGCAAACAAAATATCTAAAGAAACAATTACTTAAGTCATTTTGTGGCCCCTGACACCTGGCACAGTAGTGGCAGGCTGGTGATCCAGGCATTTGGGGTTCAAAGCAATGAAAGGGACCTAGAGTTCTGGTCTTGCCCTCAGATCTCATGAGAAATGGTTGATTAGGCTTTAAATAATTAAATGGCACTTGCTTGTTACCAACTTTATAAATCTCAGTTTTCTTGGTTCTTAGATGAACTCTGATTGATCTACACTGACCACTCACCAAGTTTTTCAGAAACAGAGCCTGTTTCAAAATGAGCATAGCTCTCCCTTCTCCCCTGATAGTGTCTAGGCTTTGTTTATTTCAGCAGAAACATCTGCCTCTACTTTAACTATCTCTACTTGACAAGAGAAGTCATTTCTGTTAGAAACGGGAATTCTGGAAAAAGATGATGAGCCCCTTGTTCAGTAGCTGCTAGAGATCAGTTTTAACTCTTTGCCCTGTTCACAGAACTATTAAGACATAAAAATATCTCAAGTATTCTGAAATGTTCTGGCATTCTGCCCTGACAGGAACTCTGGTACAGACTGGGTTATTGTAACTGCAGATAATAGCAATATCCAGAATAGCTGAAAACTGTAAAAATTCCTGTTTAGTTGTATTTTGATCTTTTATCTGATTTACTTTATGAAAGACATAAATATTTCATTATAAGATGTTATAAACCAAACAATATAGTTTGCAGAGGGGAGAATGCCTTGTTAATTGCAAGATAAATGCAGATGTGAGGCATAATAAACGTTGTCTAAACATGAGTACTCGTTTCAGAATAAGCCTAGTCTAATGGTGGCACTAGGAACTGCATAAATAAGTATCTTAAACTGTTTTAAATTCATGGGTGATGCTTGCCTGAAACCAAAGCACCTTTGCTCTCTGTTTTTGTCAGATTCTTATAAAATGTGGAGTATCACTGAAGACAACTATCAAACTGTTGTAGTAATTAGTTCTGATGAATCAGATGATCATCAGTTTCCTTTGCATTTATTAATAGAACCACTTCCCCAGCACAGAGTTGAGGGATTCTGCTGCATCTCACAAGAAACAGAAAATCATCACAGCCACTGTAAGGCTGGAACAAAGCTCTGGGAGACAGTTCAGAAAAGGAGGAATATTAGAATTGTCTTGTATGAATTTGGTGCATCTAAATGTTTATTTACCATAAATTCACACAACTTAAACTGGATTTAGTGGTACTGCAGTGGTCCTATCATAGATTTTCTCTACTTTATATCCTAAATTGTAGCTGAAGTGATTTCTTAAATGTCATCAGTGTATATAGCTTCTGCGCTGATCTTCAAAAATATTTTTAAAAATTCAGGAAGCCAGCCATACTGTGTAAGGGGTTACGTCTCAACCCTGCTACACCGAAGTAAGGAAAGAGTCAAGCAGAAACCATTTAACCTGAGAAAAGCAAACTAGGTGTTCAAAAGCCAGGTCCTATGTATCTGACTGTCCAGGGCAACTAAGGAGCATGGGCAACTAAATACTACAGTATCATTTCTGATTTATCTCATATTCCTTGTTTTTTGTAAGGAATCATCAATATTGCATTTATAGTAAAACTTCCTGATTTCTTATGATATATGACTTTAATAGGGCACTGTGTACTCTTAGCTAGCACAATGAGTTTCTAAACTGTATTTTGAGAAGATTAGTTTTAACATACTTAAAGGAACAAGGCACGTAGAGAAGATGCCTGTCACAAATCACTATTGAAACTCAGCTGTACTAGTGGAAATTTTACTCAGTGAAGCACAGGAGTCTGTGATTCTGAAGCCGTACCTGTCAGGTGCATGGTGGTGCCTTACACTGAGCTGAAAGAAACAGCTGCGTGGCTGTGACTGCCCTTTAGACAGCTCCATCTCTAGCAATTGCTTCTCTCCCATTAGTCTTTGATGTGCCTCTATGGATAAAAATTTTTATATTAAACAATCTGTAAGCAGTAGCAAAACAAATGTTCTTAATATTCTTAGTAAGTCCTTTCCCTTCATACCGTTTTCATTGAGCTCACCCCTGTGGCCCAGCATGGGAAGCGATGCAAATTTGATGACCCAAGTGACCTCAAGGTTTTTTAATACTTCAGCTCTTGCACGGCTCAGGTGTCACTGTCCAGTACTCCATATATGCTAAAACTTGACATCATCTGAGATGAATTTGAGTGCTCGCTCTCTTTACAGAAGGAAAACAAACTGCAATCTTAAGTATTTAACATTCCTTGTGAAAAAACAGAGGCTGACACAAATACCTCAGACTGAAAAAGGATGTAGGAATTGTAAGGGTAACTAAAACAAGTGTTCTTTGAAAGTCTGCAGAAGGAATTCAAATTAAGATGGAAGTTACCTTTCTGTCATTTTAATGAGAACTCACCTGTCTGGCATACCCACAAGTCAGTTCTCAGTTATGTGAAGCTGACCCAGTTCAGTTGACATTTTAGTTAATTAGAAGAAATGTAACTGGGCACTGGTAAAATGAGTGCTACAGTTTGAATTATTTGACATTTTTCCCCTTAAAAGGTACTGAGACAAGCTTTTATGCTTATGGTGCCTTAAAAATCATTTTACGCAATACAAGCATCTTAAAATAACATGCATGTAAACATGCAGGCTGTCGTGAAAAACTGGCTCATCTTGGAGACAAAAATCTTTAAAGTGAAAGATGTCCTTGTATTCCTGTGATCAGCAGTCTAGCAGTGTGTCTAGTCATTTAAAAATCGGGTTTGACATTGGAATCTCAGAAGGATGAAGACTCAAATAAGCTAGGTCAATCCAAAGAAAACTTACTTATTTTCTAGTACTTTAACTGTGGATTAAATTTGGAATTTCAAGATCAAACAGTCCCATTAATTCACTCCCTAAACAAAAGCACTCAGTATGTATCTGCCTTACATCAGTTCAGTGTGCTTAGGACAAGCTTATCATGCACGACGGACTCTTCAGTCCTCCCTTTTCAGTGCAGCTTGCTGGACCTCATGTACTTAAAATATCTATTATGGTACAGCCTGACAACCTATACAGGGATGTCAGAGCTATCCAGGTTTATTTTTATTTTTAGTATTTCACTGTTTAAAGTAATGCATTCGAGTTTCTTGCACTCCTGATTGGCTGTGTTAGCTTCTATTCAAGGAACAGCAGCATTCCCAGTTGGGGTGCCAAACTGAATTTGTATGCGTAGCTACACGCAGGCAGACCAGGTAGGTAGGGAAGGCTGAGTTTGATGCAGACAGCAACATAAATCTTAAATGGAACATACAGTTCCCGGAACTTTGAGGTTAGATTCCAAAGTTAACTTCTGCTTACTTTAGTATCATTTTTTTTGTCACAAATAACTGTTCAGAGTTGGTATATATGGGATACTACTTGCAGCAACAATAAGAACTTAATTTCCCTGCTCTCTGTCTAAAAACTGTCATCCTGGTGAGATTTATTCACTTGGCTAGACATTTAGTTCACAAGTGGCTCTACTCACTCACCATTTTCTCTTTGGGTTTTTTAACTGATTTTTGAACTGGGATTCATAGTCATCTGCTTTAGCTGCTGGGCAAAATAAAGATACAGCAGGAAAAAGCTTCTTTGTCTTTAAGTTGGTGCAGTGATCCAAAAATGTATCACCTTCTTCCTAACTTTAACAAGTAGGAATTTAATTAAATCAAAATAGTTTGAGGGGATTCACAGTTAATTTAATTTCTCTTTGGTTTTTGAGCAGAATGAATGCCGCATGTTTCGTGTTCAGTTTGGTGGAGATTCAAAAGAACAGATGCTGGAACACTGCTGCAGTTGCGTTCAGAAACTTGCAGAGTACGTACCGGTTCAAGTAACTGATGAACAAAGCCAGAATCTCTATCACAGTCTCAGTCAGCTGCCTAGTGGTGACAACGAAGTGAAGGACACTGAACAAAATACATCAGTACTATATATGGTAAGTAAGCAAGAACATTCATATTGAAAAACAGAATAATAATGAACTACTAGTGTTAGATCTGTAAATGACGAATTTTACTTCTGAAGAAAGTTTTTGGCAACTATGAGATCATCTATAGGAAATACAATTTGGGAAACCCAAAATTCAGTTTACATGCAAGGAAACCTGGCTAGTGAACAGGGCTAGAGTTATACAGGAAGTCAGCTGCTGAACCTGGCTATCACATTCCCCTTTTCCTAGCCTATCTCAAAAAAGTGGTTCTAGCTCCTCACACTTATTGTAACATGCCTTGGAGCAAGCAGATGCCTTCATTTTGGCCTCCAAGACATCACTAATAACCAAAATTAATATACACATTGCACGTGATCATAGGAAGAGTATTAGCAAGAATATGGAATGAGATTTATAGGTGAGAAAAAGGCTTTATTCCAGGGTTTCAACTTTTCCTTAGCCAGGGAGCCTGGAAATGAAGGGCTCAGGCAAACACAGATAGTTATCAACCATTAGAAGAAATGGCAGCAAATGCTGCCACCAAGTATCATTGACCCATTCCCAATCAGATGGTGGCACGGTTTGGTGGAAAGCTTAAATGTTTTTTGCTGAGGGGTGAATAAAAAAGAATAGGGATCAGATGAGAGCTGAATAGTTGCCAAAAACACATCTACAGTTTCATTAGTGTGGATTTCAGCTAAGACTGCTGGGAACCACCTGGCAGACTTTCAGAAAAATTATACAGGGCAAGAAAAATGATCAGAGCCATTTAAGTAACTGTGAACCGTGTTCTCCTTTTTGTGTTTACTCACTCCTGTTTTGCAGTGTTAGTAACTGTAGATATGCAGTTGTATCAATTTGTGTTAACCTGACACATTTAAAAGTGATTTCAGGGTAGGAACAGAATGTTTACCTCCTCCAAGGTAAATGGGAAAGGCAATGGCAGCTAATGTTGCTGGGGGTGACTAATCTTTAAATATATGCTCTCTTGAGTATCCAGAGGATTGCATTTACCAGCTCTAAAAAACATCCCTGCAGCTAACTTAGCCAGGAAGCCTCTTGGGTATGTGATAAAAAGTATCAGGACCAAGCCCTGAAAAAGGAATGTCAAAGCTTTCAGCTGTATAATTTTCATGGCATAATCTAGGAAGATCCTACTCTGCTGGACAATGAAATCATATTTGGTAGTGAAAGGGCGGGGGGAAAAATATATTGCTGATTTGACTTATACCATTTCCAAGGCAGCATATGGGAGACCTTCAAGAGCTGATTCAAGAGTTGCTGTTTATTCTCTAAGCAGATTACCTATACTTTGGGCTTTGCTTAGTTCCTGGTAAGTTAAAGCAACTTTAAGGTAAAGAAATTATTTCAGGACAGAATACTACTGAACACCAACAGTGCAGTTCATACTGTTGGTATTAATAATGCTCTTGCTCCAGAAGTTAGACTGAAAGCTTCACTCAGAAAATAGAATTGACAACTTAGACCAGATGGTCTAAAGAAAAGATGGAAAAGATTTACAGTGATGTGACCCATGGGAAGGCAAAAAGCATGCTCCTGGTGAGCATTCATACACAGCATTTTTTAAAGTTACTTCCAGTAAGTAGTTTAAAAGTTACCTTAGTTTAGATGTGACAGTTTAACTACAGGCCCATTATTTCACATCTTTCATTTTTAAAGACTTGAGCAGATGTGCATTCAGGTTCCATAAAAAGATGCCTTTTTACTGCATAAGGTAGCTAAGCACATTCTCTTCCCGTTATCTCTAAAAATGGAACTACTTCCCTTCTTGCACATACCCACACTCTGCTTGGTAATAAGCCCTTATTTGCATTTGGTATTTTCTAGCCAGATGAGCCTCTACCAGATTCCTGTACAAGCCTTGGAGATAGACTATCTGTAACACAGCTAGCACAGGTAAAAAAAAAAAAAAAAAAATCTAATATTTAGATCCTGTAACTGAATCTCTTGGGCACGGAGAGAGAACAAGCTATCTTCTATTCTGTAAACATCTGGTAAATGTCTTCACTGAACATCAGGATGCTGTCATCTATACCAGCAAAAACACAGGATCTTGTGTAATGATCTGCAGCTAGGAAATAAGCTGCAAAACCAGGTATTTCAGTGTAATTACCCCATCTGCATAAAAACAAACCACATACTGAGAGCAAACAAATACCCTGAGGTCACATCCAAATGAATGGTTTTGTGTTCTTCTAGCTCTGCAGAAAGCAGAGACATAGCTCAAGTCTGAAAATACCAACCATCCTTGACCCACTGCAAAAGATCCCCCAGTCCAACTGGCAGCTTCACTGTGCAGCCCAGGGGAAAGCCATCTTTAAAAATCCCTGGAAGTTAACTGTTGCTTGTTTACTGTGAATCTGGGGCAGTACAAGATGAGATGACTGAGGATAGAACTCCTCCCAACCTCTCTGTGCTGTTGCTTCTATGGGTCTTTACCATATTCACAGGATGATCAAGTCAATGTTTATTCACATCAGTGGTTTAAGGGACAATTCCTATGCTGCCTATTACAAATCTGTCATCTCTTAAACCCAAAAAAGCCTTTTTTAAACACCTCTATTTTCAGAAAACAGAGCTCCCCCTACTCTCCTTGGGTGGCAAGACCTGTATTACATGCCCTGCTGTTTGATTAACAACAGTTTTGTTACCGTCCTTGTACAATGCAACAGGAGTGCATCAACAATCAAGAGTGATCAAACAACGCACTTTGCCTTTAGCAACTGTATTTTTCATGACCAATCTCTGCTTTAAGAGGTAACACTAGCAAATGTAAATTACTGCCCACATTATAAACAACTTCTAAAAACTGCCGTTCTGTGGTCCCTGCGTAAGGAGGAAGCACAATACTTGCTTCAAACAAACTTTCTGCCAGCGAGGCCTGTGTTTGCTGTACACATTTATCCATCTCTTGCTTGAATTACTACAGTTCCCCAGCACAAAGAAAACTCCTTGATAGTTTCCTACCTCCTCTTCTACTTGCCCTTTTACTTCTTATTCAGCTTAACATAACTGTGCTCCGAGCTGGGATCTCCAAGGCCCTGGCCCACAGGGTTGCCCTACAAAGTTTGCTCAGAGCTGAACTTCTTTTCCCTGCTTTAACTTTCAAGCGAGCGCTCTAGAACACTCTGGAGTTAAATTTCTCCATTTCCACCACTTCAGGAAGCATTGGTTTTAAGTATTATAAAAAAAAAATCTGCAAGAGAAAAGACACTCAACAATCTTTAAAGATATTTTTCTCCACCAGGAAAAGAGCAATAGTGCAATGTGAACCAACAATAAGATTATCAAAAATATTAAGGTGGTTGTTTTCCTTCCCACAAGTCAGACACAGCTATGCTCCAGCTGTCGGCGTGCCTGGCCCATCTGCCAGCTGGCTTAGACATTTTGGTTCGAGCAGCAGAAGCAGGGGCCTGACTGAAGGGAACAGCAATTCTGCCTTTCCCAGATGGAGAGGCTTGGTTTAGCCTGTGCTGCTCCTATCAGCACTTAAAAAAAAAAAAAAAAAAAAAATAGGTATCATTCAGCATTTCCCCCCAGGAACAAAACCATTCACCTTGATAAACCATTCACCGCCTCTGCACATCATACTTACCTCACCATGAAAGTAACTTCAGTGATTTTCTTTGCTTCTGCTCTCTCACGCAGAGTACCTAAAGAGCATCCGTAACTGATGCTGTAGGTTTAATGACTTCAGCACAGACAGGTAAAGAAGGTTAAAGGCCGAGTGGATGGTGGGGTTTATAGCCTGAACAATAGAACAATGTTGGTATAACACCATTTACAAGGGCCTGGCTGCAGTAGGGCCTCAGAACTGTGAAGTCACTGTATCGTCAGGGTGGTTCACATCCAGCAGGACCACTGGCAGCTGCCGCCATGAAGTTTTTTGTCGAGCTCCTTCAGCTCGTTGTCATAGGAACAGCAGCGCAGAAAGTGCTCAGGAGGTGCCTAATAACCTATGTGCATGTTCCTCCAGTGTGCCCAGGGGATGAGCCAGCAGCGCCTGGGGATGCTGGGTGGCACTGGTTGGGGCTACCTCAGCCTCCACAGGGTCCTTTTTTGTCTTAAACTGCTGCCACCAGTTTTACACTGAAAAGCAACATGATGCATGCTGTGCACCCACCACCAAGGGAAAACACTGGGGTTAAACGGGCCTGAAAAGGATGTTTTCACTCTTAAAAAGCCCCGTAATTTACTGCTAGAAGCCCTCTTGCGAAATGAAGAGCTTAAAACTGTGTACTTGTACTGCCACCTGAAATGTGTAAGCATAACCATATGCTTCATACAGGATCTTCTTTTACACAAAATGGATGTTACCCAGGCAATTGGCATTTCTGACAAATAATTGCAAAGGAATTCGAAGTTGCATAAAAGCTATACTAAAATCCGATCCAGGTATCAGAGAAAAAGTTACATATAACAAATCATACCCAAGTGAAAGTATTCAAACAGCATTATTAACAAGGCAGGTGCATCTTTATTAAATACTGAAGGAAAAGTTTGACGTAGCTGCATTGTTAGAAAAACCATGTAACGGTGCCAAGATCAGTGCAACACCTTTGTGTTTAACTTTCACAGTCTGTGCTGAAAAAGAAGTCTGAGCTCCCCCTTGTGTATCAGCATGCAGCGTGGCGTGCACAGGAGCTGGGGCCCTTCATTCGCTTATGTCTCATGGATCAGAATTTCCCAGCTTTTGTGGAAGATGTGGAGAAGGAATTGAAAAAAATCACAGAAGGTTGAGAAATACCAGCTTACTGCCACTGGAATACACACTCCAGTATACCCAGCACTTGGGATACACAAACTTACGTGTGATTAAATACTTGAGAAAGTCTCACACGATTTTTTTGTCAGTGTTTTATTTTTAAAAACAGGTGAATCCACTTTTTATACATCATTGCACTTCAACAAATACACAGAACACAAGTTCATGCATCTACAGTTACGCACATCATGAGAACCCTGTTAGGTCTATTTCTACAATCTTTAAATCATGAGAAATTACAGTGTCAAACTAAAGAGTATAACTAGTTGCATAGAATATCACCATGCTGTAACATTTCATCATTTAAACAAAAACAAAAAAAAAGAAAATTATAAAAGTTTGCCTGAATTGAATGTACAAGAATATGTTGAACACATCAGTGCAAAAGGATTTGAGAATTTACATGAGTTAACAAAAAAAAAAAATCACTTAAAAAGCAATCATATATATATATATATTTATAAACTGAAGTTTTGTTTTTGTTTTCAACTGCATTCCACCACCACGTCGAAGCGTTCCAGCTTTTGAAGTCTGATTATAGGACACCCAAGTCTCTCTATATAGGTTAAGCCCTTAAAATAATTTCAATTTATATTACTTCTCTAAGTACCAGAACAGTATAATTCTCTCATCTTTCAGACATACAGTAAGGAATGAATATCAGCAGCTTAAAAATGAAACACAATTACTGTAGTTTGGTTTTCCCCCTCCCCCCAAATATAAATATATATTGTATATATTTTTAAGTTTTGCTGTACTTTACAAAAAGTATCACTAGATGGCAGCAGTGCGTTTTAGAGCTTTGCCAATTTTAACAGCTACAGGAAGTAAAAAATGGCGCATGCGTGATCTGACTTACTACTACTAATGTTTAAATAGATTAAGGAAAAAAAAAAAAGCAACATTCACAGCACATCAAGCCCAAAATAGTTTACACCTTCTACACTGAAGCATTATTAAAATTTATCTGGCTAGGTCATCCTTACAGGAGAGGCTAAATAAGGCATGCTTTAGACAGTCATATTGTTGCTCACTTGAAAAGAAAAAAAAAAAAGAAAGGAAAAAAAAAAAAAAGAAAGAAAAAAAATCAGACAGAACTGGAGTTCTAGAACCAAGAGTTCCAACCCTTAAATTTAGCAGGTCATATTGCCATCAGTCTCTCAGAAACTTAAAGCTCTAAAAAAGAAATGAGAAAAGGTGCTAGTCAATGCCTGGCAGCATTTTCAACATCATGTGCCATAACAGCGTGCAATCAAAGCGCTTAACATCCGTCTCGGTCTTAAACGAAGACACAGGCTTCCCGACCAAGGTCACCTTCCAGATTTTAAGACTGACTGAGGAAGGGTTTGGGGTTTTTTTTATTAGCAATAGCAGTGATTATTACACTGAGTTTGACAGCTACTGGATCATTAAACTACCTGCATATTTTATGACAGAGATCTTTTGAGAACTCCCAGTGCTCTTCGAAGCGTGGCAGGAAGGCTCGTGCCCTCCTCCGAGCAGCTGGGAACTTTTTAATAGGTGGAACAGGTTACATTTATGCACCCCAACCACTACAGAAAAAGGAGGACTTTAGCCTGACCGTTTCCGAGACGTGTGCGAGTCATACTTACATGATGAGCATTTTTAATTTGTGTTTCTCTGGCGTAAGTTTTTATCTTTATGATTGTTTGTAGAATTGGTTTTCCTGGAGAAAAATAATTTTTAAAATGCACCAAAATCAATCACAAGCAGACAAAAAAAAGTCTTTCTACACAGTAAGTTAAAATAGCATTTCATTCTTCCTCCTCCTACCTCAAGTGGCTAAGGACAACACAGCTTCTAGACTTTGGATCTTGTCACGTCTTGCCCAGTGCAACCCACCTCCTATACCTGTCACATGCTTCCTAGTTTTACTGCTTCCTTTTCACAACTGAAGAAGCTTTTTTTTCCGCTTATGGTATTTGTAAAAATATATCAAATGGGCTATGCCAGGCAGTCCACACGTCACTTCAGCAATATTTGTTTTTCTAGGAAGAGCCTTGCAGGTGCCACTTTTCTTTACTCCAGTACTAACAAGCAACAAACCAAAGGGTCCATTACCATTAGTCATGTCACACGTAATACCAACCCACTGTAAACTCCCATTAACCCTCTGATTAAGCTCAGTAATATTTTTTTCTTAAAACACACTTACATTGGCCCAGCTGGTTCATCATCTGCAGCAAGAATTCAGACAGGATCCAGGGAAAGACAAGGGAAGGAAAGAAGAAGAGAGTCAGTCTTTGCCCCATACACCATCTGAACTGCAAACAGCAAACCAATCTATCTACAGCATTAAAGGCCATTCCACTTGGTAGTGCAAAGGTTCATGGAGTTACTTTTCTGGAGTCAAGTTTTAATGGCAGGTATGTTGCTTCAATGGTTTTAGTTAACACTTTGAATGCTTGTCATGAAGAACTGCAACTGTAGCGGACAGATTGTTGCAATATGGTCAGACTCATCTTGTCCCCAAGTTCCAGTGGTTCAATCTCATAAAAAATAGATGAGAGGACAAACCAACGTTTCAGTTGTAAAATCCTGCTGGTGGTTTTCTTGCTTTTTTTTTTAGCCATTCTTCAACTGCTGATGGGTAATTACTGGTATATACACAACAGGGTATATACACCACATGTTCATCTTCCTCCATGCATGATACAACCTCTACATAATCCATTTTTCTCAATGTCTAATTAAAACGGACCAGGTTAGGAGGAGGTTGAAGGTGCAATACTTGATTCAAGTACCCAAACGTAGTCCTTGGATAGCAGCAGGCATTGTGCATGCGTCTGACAGAGCACAGGGCCCAAAACACCAGGAAAAGTTGGGGGTGTTGTAATACCTTCAGACACAACAGACTTCAGCTACAGAAGACTGACAGCATTGTTCTGTCTGTGTCTCGGCAAAAATATTCTCTTTTAAGAATTGGGAAAAAAAAAAATCTGCCAATGAGTAATGTTTCGCATTAGCTCTTTCATGACCAATTGAACATTTTTTTGAATTATAAAACACGTTATTTTGCTCCCAAGCTGCAGTACAGAAGACAGAAGTGCATTTAAACAGCAGCACAGAAATCAATTCAGCAAGTTAATGCTCCTGTAAAAGTATTTTGGGGGGACCAATTCAGGACCTGCTGTTTTTGGCACTCAACAGTTGCCGTTCCCACCTCGTGCTAGAGGGATTTTTCACTGAAGTCTTTAAGAAACTCTCAGCAGGATTCCACAAGGGTGCTTAGTGCACATGAAGCAGTTATGGAAATTACGATCTTAACAGTGTAGGCATCCGCATGAGCACACGCTGGGAGTAATGTCGGTCAGAGGGGACATTACTCCACCTGTACCTTCAAGGCAACGGATAGGCAAAGCCACCGCTAGCACAGACAGTGACCGGAACAAAAAAATATTTCAAAAAAATAAAGAACTAACCACAAACCAAGAGCTTTACAGCCAAAATAACACACTAGCGACACACCAGTGTCCACAGAAGTCCATTACCAGCAACAGTAACACTATCGGACAAGATACAGAAAGAACTAGGACTAGTAAGGACAACCAGACATCAATGTGCTGTTGTATATACAGTGGCGATATACAGAGACACATCAGGTACTGAAACACAAAGCACAGTAGAGTAAATCTAGAACTTCCTTCCACAAACATCTCTTGATTCACAAAAGATCTTAAAGTAGGCTGTGCTCCGCGCTCCGCACGCTGGCTGGGACGAGCCCTGGACAGAGAGCAAACCCCCAGCTCCCCCCACCCCCGGACCAGCACTGTTACCGATGCCACTCTGCTTTGAGACTCAAGTTATCTCCGCTTTCCAACAAGCATCATCGACATCTTTGAGAGTTTGTTTGGCTGGACTTCAGAAAGAGCAAACTGCACTGTTCAGATACAAGCTGTCTCGCTATAAAATACCCATTTTTTTACTTCTCTGTTAAAATACTTAAGATGCCTATTTCCGATAAGTAGGTTTGTGCATTTAAAAAAAGCAAGCTTCACATTTATAAGGGCTGCCATCAGGGGTTTTCCTAACAAAGATCCAACAAAAAATACCTAATACTTAAGATTATACAGTGGAATACCACCACTCATCTCTTTCCCATCTGTAACCTAAACAGGAGAAAAAAACAGACCAAGGAAAATTTCTCTGTGCATTACTATCCTGGTCAGGCATTTAACTGCTGGAAAAGCATCCCCAGTACAGTACAGACAAAGACCGAAACCTCAGCGAAATCAAGGGGCAACAGAACAACAGAAAAATAAGTACAAAATTAGACTAAATAAAGATTAAAAACAGCAAACTGAAATCCAAATTAGTTGTGAACGTGAATGAAGAAGTTTTAAGAAAAAGTGTTAACAATATGACTTGTGCATTGTATAGACTGAAGCGGAGATTAAAACAAACTCCAAAGCATGCAGATCTCTCACTTACCACCATTTTTTTAAGGGTATGATGCAATTGAAGGGGGGGAAAAAAAAAAAAGAAGTCATAGTAACCGACAAATATCAATATAACTCAAAACCTTTATGCCAGAAGACCTGCTCTAGTAACTGATTGTCTCTAATAGTATGTAAAACCTACGGCCACAGAGAACATCCTCCCAGTATGCTGCTTCATTCCATTCTGTACCCGCGGGGCTCCCAAAATGCTGCCCGGTGAGCTGTAATTTTATAATTGACCATGCTAAACCCCTCCTTTTGCAGGAATTTCCTTTAGAATTCGGAGGTGATCTGCAGACTCCAAAATCCCCATTGTTTATATAATACAAGATTTTAAAAACCCAACCAGCCAAGCCTTTCTTGTGGGTATAGTGATTGTCTGCTTTGTGGTGCCCTGAAATAGCACGTTTCTGAACAGAGAGGTTAGAATTGCTGCTGTCTTAACGCATCGTGTAACACATGTAATCAATCCTTCCATGCAAAAATATCTGGACATTAAGATTGCAAGATGATGACAGATGGATTTGTTTTACCTCCTCTGCTCTATTAACTGTCTGGGAACGTAAGTCATGCTTCAGCAGTCTGAGAAGGGGACTGTTTTGTGGGCCTCCCCCTTTACTTTCAGCCTTAATTTTATAAGGCATTTTACATGTTACTCGGTTTCTTTTACCTCCTTTGGAAAGCTACAGTACTTATTTTTAATATCAAATTAATCTTGCGTAGCCTTTTATGACTGGTGGAAGTTAAAAATGAAACACTAACAGGTACTTCTAGGACTAAGATTCAAATGTTTGCATCCAAAGGGACTCTCCATTTCTGGTTGTGCTTTAAAACTTGCAAAGACATCTACCCAGAGAGGAGCCAACACCAGCAGCCTTAGCAATGGTTCTTACACTGGCACATGGCAACCCTCAGACCTGCCTTTACAGACCAGTAGTGAACTGGAGCATTTTTAAAGTGAAACTTAGGTTCAAATTCTGTTCAGATGCTCAAAAGGAAAAGCCAGCATCTGTAACAGCTTTGGGTTCCTGTTACAACACCACTTCCACAGTCTGCAAAGCAATCTGTTGAACTATTACAGAGACTGCTGGGGAATTTCTGGATTTAAAAGCTAGTTTATGATTTTGCTTTCTGGGACGATACAATTTGACAGTGGCTTGAAAACTTTTGAGAAGAACATTTAGAAGAATTTAGATTTGGGGCAAGTTGGAAAAAATATTTTTTTTAATAAATTTGTCAGTTCTTAACTTGTAAAACATTGAGAAGGCCCCACATCGAGCGCCCAAAGCAGTCCACTGCCACGCAGGACTGGGACACTCTAAGAAGGTCGCTGTTGGCAGGGAAAACATTGCAACCTGCATTAACCACTCAGAGCTGCGGCTGCACACAAAGATACAAAGGCGGCAGCAACCACCATGATGCACATCGGTTTGGAGCAACGCTCTTTTCTTAGACTCCATTAACAGGAATATTTTGGAGGGAGGAGGAGGAAGAAGAGGTAAATGAAGACCGTTGCCTTGCTCCATAAAGCAAAACAATTAAAATAAAGCAGTTGCTCTGAAATGGAATGAATGCACAAGCATAGTAACAGAGACTCTCTGGCCAAGACTGCTTACATCAGCCTGGAGGAATTCTGATCCTATAATGGCATCTAATGAATTAGTACATAAAGGCCCAGAGGAGCCCAGCTATTCGATTACCACTGTGCTACAACGATGCTTGCTGTTAGGTACAGCTGATAGCTACAGTCTTGCAATGGGCCTGTCTGACAATTTTCTCCCCTTGATGAATATTAAGTGTGAGAGAGAAAGGTGCGGGTAATAGGAAAAAAAAAAACAAACAAAAAAACACCTCAAAAAAATTAACCTGTTACAAGGTAAACCATTTCAGCAAAAACATTTTGTTCTTTAAATTACTTACAGTAATAGCAGGAACAGGGAAAGTCAAGAAAAAAAAAAATGAGTATTAGAAAGAATGTGGGGATATGGATGGAGCTTCTGCAGAACCGGAGCAGAAAAACATTTATGGAAAGTCTTTGTATTAAGCTGAGAAATGAGAAGGGAAGAATGAAAAAAGGACATGTTATAACCCAGTCACCTCATGGCTTTGAGCTAAAGATCATGTAGAATATGGATTTTAAAGTAAAAACTGTTTACATTCCTACAGGGGAATGTAGCCAAGAAGTTTTTACTTTCTACTTACCCCAGAACACACCCTTTAAAACAGCGGCTTTGCTAGTTTTAGGCTATTTGATCCAACAACAACGGAAAAAACACTTTCTTCAGGAATCTTTGATATACTATATTCAGGTCACAATGGCTGATCACTAAGTCTATCAAAAATAAGCAGCTTAAGCTATACCACAGAGGAATGAAAAGCTATTTGCTTCCTTTTATTGTCAAGGGAAGTCCAAGCAACTTGCATTCTGAGCAAAATGCATCAGCAGTCCCCTGCTGAAACTGCTTCCCATTGTACATGCAGTGATGTGCCAGCGTCTCTGGCCTTGACATGCCACATTCATGCAGCTTTCATCACCAAAAGCCACTGGAAGCTGCACGTTCTTCACCCACTCTTGATTTTACAAAACCTAGCTGCTCTCTGGAAAAGGTATGTGATCTGTGTGTTGCTTCACCACAAGCAAAGCAAGTCAAAACTCTCAATTTAAAAGAATGCAGAAATTCAAGTGTAATCTGCCCTCCCTTCCTCCTTCCAGCACATAATTTGGGTGCAAGGGTTAC